GCTGATGAACTGTATAAATGAGTGTCTAATAGTGTTTTAAATGTCTGTATTCATTATTTTAGCATTTTGGTGCATTTTCTTTAAAAATTACAAATTCTGCCTAAGTACCACAGTTTAGCGCCACCTTCAGCTTAAAACATAGAGTTTGAGTCATTTTGAATACACTTTAGCCAATGGCTAAAGAGTAAGATACTACGTAAACCAGTAGAGTACTACGTAGCAGCTCTTGTGCCAAGGTTATAAAGCATCGAGAGTCTCGGCCACGCCCTGTGGCGAGTTGGGAGTTGGATTTGCAAGCGAGTGTAGGAGGCTAGCCGTAGTTCAGCATTAGCATATAGCATTAGCATATCCTAGTCTTTAGCATAGCTTTTAGTGTTATACATACTTATTTAGTGTTAGCTTGGCTGTTGGATATTGAAGTATAAACAACTACAGTACTGAAGTACAAATGACTACAGTACTGAAGTATAAATGACTACAATACTGAAGTATAAATGACTACAGTATTGAAGTATAAATGACTACAAAACTGAAGTATAAATGACTACAAAACTGAAGTATAAATTACTACAGTACTGAAGTATAAATGACTACAATACTGAAGTATAAATGACTACAATACTGAAGTATACATGACTACAATATGAAGTATAAATGACTACAATAATGAAGTATAAATGACTACAATACTGAAGTATTAATGACTACAATATGAAGTATTAATGACTACAATATGAAGTATTAATGACTTAAATATGAAGTATAAATTACTACAATACTGAAGTATAAATGACTACAATACTGAAGTATAAATGACTACAGTACTGAAGTATAAATGACTACAATACTGAAGTATAAATGACTACAATAGTGAAGTATAAATGACTACAGTACTGAAGTATAAATGACTACAGTACTGAAGTATAAATGACTACAATACTGAAGTATAAATGACTACAATAGTGAAGTATAAATGACTACAGTACTGAAGTATAAATGACTACAGTACTGAAGTATGTGACTACAGTACTGAAGTATAAATGACTACAATAGTGAAGTATAAATGACTACAGTACTGAAGTATAAATGACTACAATACTGAAGTATAAATGACTACAGTACTGAAGTATAAGTGACTACAGTACTGAAGTATGTGACTACAGTACTGAAGTATAAATGACTACAATAGTGAAGTATAAATGACTACAGTACTGAAGTATAAATGACTACAATACTGAAGTATAAATGACTACAGTACTGAAGTATAAATGACTACAGTACTGAAGTATGTGACTACAGTACTGAAGTATAAATGACTACAATAGTGAAGTATAAATGACTACAGTACTGAAGTATAAATGACTACAGTACTGAAGAATAAATGACTACAGTACTGAAGTATAAGTGACTACAGTACTGAAGTATGTGACTACAGTACTGAAGTATAAATGACTACAATAGTGAAGTATAAATGACTACAGTACTGAAGTATAAATGACTACAATACTGAAGTATAAATGACTACAATAGTGAAGTATAAATGACTACAGTACTGAAGAATAAATGACTACAGTACTGAAGTATAAGTGACTACAGTACTGAAGTATAAATGACTACAATAGTGAAGTATAAATGACTACAATACTGAAGTATAAATGACTACAATACTGAAGTATAAATGACTACAGTACTGAAGTATAAATGACTAGAATACTGAACTATACATGACTACAATATGAAGTATAAATGTCTACAATACTGAAGTATAAATGACTACAATATGAAGTATAAATGACTACAATACTGAAGTATAAATGACTACAATATGAAGTATAAATGACTACAATACTGAAGTACAAATGACTACAGTACTGAAGTATAAATGACTACAATACTGAAGTATAAATGACTACAATATGAACTATAAATGACTACAGTACTGAATTATAAACGACTACAATACTGAAGTATAAACGACTACAATACTGAAGTATAAATGACTACAATACTGAAGTATAAATGACTACAATATGAAGTATAAATGACTACAATAGTGAAGTATAAATGACTACAATATGAAGTATAAATGACTACAATACTGAAGTATAAATTACTACAATACTGAAGTATAAATGACTACAATATGAAGTATAAATGACAACAATACTGAAGTATAAATGACTATAATATGAAGTATAAATGACTACAATATGAAGTATAAATGACAAAAATACTGAAGTATAAATGACTACAATATGAAGTATAAATGACTACAATATGAAGTATAAATGACTACAATACTGAAGTATAAATGACTACAATATGAAGTATAAATGACTACAATACTGAAGTACAAATGACTACAATACTGAAGTATAAACGACTACAATATGAAGTATAAATGACAGCAATGCTGAAGTATAAATGACAACAATGCTGAAGTATAAATGACTACAATATGAAGTATAAATGTCAACAATACTGAAGTATAAATGACTAC